GGCTCACAGCATCTCATATCTATTATGATGTTGATCGGTTTTCATTTGTTCCTATGAACATATGTACAGCTCTGTGGAATGTGGATATGTATTTGCAAAAGTTGCAAAAAATCTCTTTTCGTGTTTATAGTTTTCAATCCTCTTTTTATTGTTTACATTGTATCACACTGTTTCCCTATTTCACTATATATTATTTATATGAATGATTTTGAATAGCCAAATAATATATTGGTTTCTAGTTACACCTTGCTTCATGTAACCATATTCTTTTGATCAACTACTGAGTCATAAAATTGTTTTTGTTCATAGAATCCAAGTGAACAAACCTGTTCCATCACTGGGCTCTTTCTGCGCAAAACCATAGAAATGGGGCAATTTAAAGATTTCAGACATTTTAAAGATTTTTGTTCATGCTGTCAAATTGCACTCTAGGAAAATTGTACCAATTTATGTTCAGGTGTTTATGAGAAATCTATTCTACTCTATCCACTAAATTGGGACTATAATAAATATTTGTCATTTTCTTCAAAATCTAGTGCCAAGAACAATTACATAGCCTCTACAAATCTCAATTTTACCATTTGTAAAATGATGATAAAAAAGACAGTCTTGGCTATAAAATTGTTGTATCAAGTTTGTTAATATGCACCAAGCATTTAGAACCTAGCCTTCCAACAGAGTAAATGTTCAATAATATGAGATCAAATTCTTATTGGCAAAAAGTGGCATGAAGTTATAATTCATATATTTTTCTCTACTAATAATCATTGGTATTAATTATCATTTTACAGCAAAGTGTGGACATCAGAGGATAGCCTTTGGTGTTGGTCCTCTTTTTTCACTCTATTTGTCACTGGTCTTGGCCTGGGCTCTGAACCATTCTTTTTACTTAGCTCCTGCTAAATTTAATGTTGTCTACTAGCATAGTCTTCTTGACTCAGCTATAAAATCTCATTGATATATAAAAAGTATTGTTTTTCCTTTAAGATTTGTCTTTATTTTCTCAAATTCTCTCTGTTGATAGAAATGTTAAATATTTAATGTGATCATAGAATGTTCAGCATTTCAACTTTAGCTTTAAATATACAAGAATAATTGATGGTCACGAAGTAGAAATTCACGAGCAATTCTGCCTAGTCTTCAGGGGCACTTACCATTTCAGGTGCACATATCCAGGAATGGAATGTTTCTCCCAAAACTCTGAAAGTCTTGCTTCTTAGCATACTATGTTACTACTTTTGTGTATCACTATCTAAATTCTCTCATAGTTCTATTCTTTTTTTCAACTAAAAATAAGACCTAAATAATTCTAAGGGTGTTACTCAGTTCCTGGGTAGTTAGCCTGTCGCTAAACATTGTTATTAATTTTTGATTTTATAGCATTACAATATGTAAGAATGGCCTTTGCAGTTTATGCCATGGGGAACTAGGGGCTTCCTTTGTGTCTTAGAATGTGGTCAGGATTGCTAAATATTTTTTAGCGGTATAAATATATCACATACTATATTTACCAAGATGATCAGTTGATTATACTTATTAATTAAAATAGAAATGTTTGATTGACACTCTATTTAATTGGTTTTAATAGAAATAGGATAGAGAAGGAAAATACAGGCAACCAAAAATGTGTGAAGGAACTGAATTTCTTCATTTTCCCAAGCCACGTAGAAACCAATTGTACAGATTTTGAGCTGGAGGAAGACAAAGCCAATATGTGTTTCAGAACGTCTCCTTATCCTACCTTCTGCAACAGAAAAATTCCATGCCATCCTGGAGCCCTTGATTTGGGTTTTCATGACCTGACAAATAGTTCAAGTGCTGAGTTTAATACCTCACAGTAGCAATTTTGTAGATGTAGCTTTTGAATATCCGCCACTGAAAGAAAGGTTACTCACTCCAGCCTTCTACCATTTCATATGCTTAGATAGGCCTTTATCATCAGTGTTTATTTTCCAACAAGACCCAAGCCATCACACACACACACACACACACACACACACACACACACAAATCCCTCATTTTCCTCTTGGGTTTTCCTTCTTTTAACTTAATGTCCTCCTGACTCACTAGCACTTAGCTGGGTAATTTAAAGTTATCGTTCATTATCCAGTCAGTATCAATTTCTCAGTACATTGCCTGTCTTTGTAGTGGCATTTCATTTGTGTTTTAATAAATAAAGCTTACCTGAGAATCAGAAAAGTAAAACAGCCAGCCTTACAGACCAGGCAGCAATGACACACACCTTTAATCCCAGTAGCCACAATGATATACACCTTTAATCCCAGTAGTCATACTGGTTTACCATAGACACCAGGCTGAGTGATATGTGCCCTTTAATCCCAGAACTAGAGAGAATTATAAAATGGGAGAAGACGGCTCTCAGTCTCAGTCTCATTCTGAGGTTTCCTTGAGGCAGAATCACCATTTTCGGACTCAGGTTGAGGTAAGAGCCAGTAGTTGGCTGCTTTGCTTTTCTTGTCTTCAGGGTGAACCCCAATTTCTCTCTCTGAGTTTTTATTAATAATACTTAATTTCCTCATACTCTAAGCAAGCAAGCAAACAATCAAACAAATACTTTTCGTCTTTCCACTGAACTTTTGTGCTTTGTTAAGTTTGTTGATTGCTGTCTTTCTAATTGAATGTGACATCAGCAACTTGATAGCATCGTCATACAGTCCTTAGCACACAGTTGATACCTGTTTAATATAGGCTAAATAATATATGTGTATATATGTTTGTGTGTGTACAAGTGTGTGTGTACATGTGTGAATGCAGGTGCATAATGCCATTTTGTGCTGTAAAGGTCAGAAGACAGCCTCAAGTGTTAGTCTTCTACCCTATTTGAAGCAGGGTCTTTTTTGTTCACTACTGGATATGCCAGGCCAGATGGCCTTCAAGCATCATGCAGTTCTCCTTTCTCTGCCTCCAAATCTCTGTAGGGATGGTAGGTGTTTATACCACTAACTGGGAATCCAAACTCAAGTCTTAAAGCTCATTGGGAAAATGCTTTACCCACTAAGATACCTTCCTAACCCTTAAATGATGATGTTGTCTTTTTAAAAAGTAATTAAGAAAGATAAAAAAAAGACAAAAAATAAAATGAATGAGAGATAGACAGATGCTGAGGGTTTGTGAGTAACTAGAGGATATTACTTTTGTTTATTTAAAAATATAGTCTTCCTATTTGAAGAAGTTATAGCACATGGAAGGATTTACATAAACATTTATCAGAGAAATCACTGGTCTGAAGACTTTCAGGTTAAACATGCCTGAATCTGGAGACTACTTGGATAATGGTTTTTCTTTTTAAATTTTCTTCTGGATGTCTTTTGATGACCAAACAAAGATGTCTGTCTACCTACTTACAAGTTAATAATTTTCAGTATACTCCTTTCTACTTATCCAAGGCTTAGAATGAGTACTGGGCTTGCATAAACACTACACCCCAGTAATTCTTTCAAAAGCAGGGGAGAGATTTCCAGATTCTGATTTTGCTTTCTAATGTGCAAAATCTTAATCTCCATTCCAAGTTTCAATTTGAGTTTTGCATCAACTTAATTCACAGACCATCTTGTGTAAAATGTGCTATACCATATGAAGGAAATACATGCAGTCAGCAGGCTGCACTTTGAAGGGGAAAGACAGTATGCAATCTTAGCTTTGCCCCAAAATGAATTGTTACGATACAGGCTGAATAGTCAAGATTTAAAGTAAAATGTTTCAACATGAATGTCAACACTTTTAAATGGATTACCTTATTTTTATTGTGGGCTTCACATTTTTGTCAAGGGAATTTGATAATTATAAACTGCAACAATAATGAGGTTTTGAATATTCATAGGCAATTAAAATGCCTCTGTGCATTTTAGCTGTGCCCTGTGGAAGTGTAACTCATTTTTAGAAATAACTGGGTTGTAATAATCAAATTCCCAAATATTCTGTTAAAAATAGACAGGGGGGCTGAATCAGTAATGTTTTCATGGACTAGAAAAGCTCAAGGTTTTGATTTTGTGCTTACTAGGTGGAATTTGGGGTCATTTTGGCATGTCTACAGAGTTTTAAGAAAAAGTCACAGGAAGAAGATAGAGAGAAATGTCCATTTTCGGTTGTGCAGACCTCCTCGATGTTGAATGGTGTAGTGGCAGGGTAGTCCTGTTGAAATATGAGCGGCGGGGCTGCGTCCCCAACACCCCAGCCACTTGGCTAGCTCATGCCCGAAATAACAACACACAAACTGTATTCATTTAACTGCTTGGCCCATGAACTCTAGCCCTTACAGGCTAATTCTCGCACCTGGACTAGCCCATTTCTAATGATGTGTGTAAGCACCCCAAGGTGCGCTTACCAGGAAGATTCTAGCCTATGTCCATCTTCATCGTGTGTGCCTCAGAGAGCAGAGCTATCGCGTCTACCCGGGAGAGCTGAGCATGGCGTCTCTTCGGGAGCAGAGCAGAGTCTGACCTCACTTCCTCTTCCGCCCAGAATTCTATTCTGTTTACTCCTCCCATCTATGTTCCAAGCTATGAGGCCAAGCAGCTGGTTTATTATAACTTAACCAATGAAATCAACAGATTGATATATGACACTCCCACATCACTTCCCCTTTTTCTGTTTAAACAAAAAAAAAAAGGCTTTAACTTAACATCCAAAGCTCTAGAAATGACAGAGACATCTCGCTGCCTGGACAGTCACCCAAAGTTCCTCTGTACCGTTGGGGCATCCATCTTCGGCCTACAGGCCCATAGTTTCCAGCAGACATTTCCACAAAGCAGGAAATTTCAAAGGCAGTCACTATCTGCTTGTCCTGAAGAATGTCTTGCAGACTCTTTCATGAATCAGGAACCCCGAAAGATCATCTCACCTTTAGGCAAGTTCAGCAGTCCTCTCTCTGCGGGTTCTCTGTGTCCAGTTTATGCAATAGTCCAGGCAAGAGCAGTTTCTTGCCCAAATGGCTATCAAACTCCATAAGGATCCTCTTCGATGCCCATCTTCCTCTTGAAGTAGATTGGTGCTGCCAGGAGCAGAGTGTCTCATTGTCATGAAAAGTCCTAAGTTATTAAAACATTTAAAATGCCATATTCTATAATCTTTGAAAAATATGAAGAATGCCTATCTAAAATATATCTATGCACATCTAGAAAATCTTAACTAACATGACTACAAACTTAACTATTATTAATGATTATTCATTAACAACCTATATACATTACAAAATTGACCTTAAATTTAAATCACTAAAGCAAAATCCATATCAATGTAAATTATTCATACCTATATCATCTCCCCCTTTAAATGTAAAAGAACATTTATAAACAATATTTGGGAACATGGGCGCAGTTTTTTCTCTCCAAACTGCTTCCTGCTGAATGGGGGCGTCGTTAATTAGGTCTTTCATGGTATAACCTGTGTGCTAGTTTCATCTCAGTTGGCAGTTGAGCGAAGCAATTTTCTGAAGGTATTCACAGCAACCGTTCAGGAGGGCGTGGTCCATCATACCATATCGGAATAGAAGAAATGAACAGGGTCTCATCCTCTGTGAAAACAAAAAAAGAAACTCCTTTCCAAAGTATCATGTCCTTAGATCCAAATTTCAAAGTCAAGGCATCAAAATCTCTACGATGGATTAGTTCAGCAGCATTTATAAACAAATATCTTTTAGCATCTGTTGCTCCTTCCTCAGCATTCAAACAATTCAAAGAGAGCATAATAGTATACAGTATCAAGATTCTCTGTGTATTTTCCATCTTTGTACGCTTTATTTTAACCTCTATTTCATTTATTTTTACTTTTATTTTATATTCTCTGTATCTCTTTGACCTGGAATAACTCTGTAGACCAGGCTCTCCTTGAACTCTCAGAGATCCGCCTGTCTCTGCCTCCCAGGCATTGGGATTAAAGGTGTTTGCTACCACACCTTGAACTCACAGAGATCTGTTTGTCTCTGCCTTCTAGGCACTGGGATTAAAGGCGTGTGCTACCACACCTTGAAGTCACAGAGGTCAATCTCCCTCTGCCTCCCAAGTGTTGGGATTAAAGGCGTGTACTACCACACACAACTTCTCTTTTTCTTACTTTTTTTTTAAAAACTTTTAACTTTTAGCTTGCATATATTTTTAACACACTGTAAATCATTTAAACATTTTCTTTATCTTTGAATCTCTTTACTGTATCTCTCTCTTTTTCTGACCACACGAGCCTTTAAATTACTGAGCAATATGAGTAGGATTAAAGCCGTGGCTTTGCCAGCTAGATCCAGTCCATTCCTTAGCTTTCCAGCCTCATGGCGGAGATACAGGCTGTAGCCATGTTTATAGCCACAATTCTATGGCGTTTCAAGGTCCCTGCCAGCCAGCGAGCTACAACAGACAACAGTCAAGTCCTCTCTCGGTAGTTGGCCCTCCTGCCTCAGTCAGAGTTTGCCCTGGCAGGACGGCCCAGAAAGCCGGCATTTTTAAACAGCACAGCTTTTTTCCTGCTACGGCTGAAAACCGAAAAGCATGCGTTCAGCTTTTCACCAACACCGTTTAAGTGTTTCGTGGCAGGACCTCTTAATGAGCTGCAGGGTTTTGCAGCTGAAGCTGAGTCAGGAAGCCTCTCTTAGATGAGAGCGCTTGCTTGCCTCTAGCAAGCAGAGTAGACCCAAGAAATTTCTGCTACCAAGAAAACATGCTTCACTCCATTCTTTCCCAAGCTTTCTCAGGCTTTTTGTGGATTCAGTTAGCCTCACGTTGGGCAGCCATCTGTTGAAATAGGAGCGGCGGGGCTGCATCCCCAACACCCCGGCCGCTTGGCTAGCTCATGCCCGAAATAACAACACACAAACTGTATTCATTTAAGAACTGCTTGGCCCATGAACTCTAGCCCTTACAGGCTAATTCTCGCACCTGGACTAGCCCATTTCTAATGATGTGTGTAAGCACCCCAAGGTGCGCTTACCAGGAAGATTCTAGCCTATGTCCATCTTCATCGCGTGTGCCTCAGAGAGCAGAGGTATCGCGTCTACCAGGGAGAGCTGAGCATGGCGTCTCTTCGGGAGCAGAGCAGAGTCTGACCTCACTTCCTCTTCCGCCCAGAATTCTATTCTGTTTACTCCTCCCATCTATGTTCTAAGCTGAGGGCCAGCCAAGCAGTTTCTTTTATTGCTCAGCCAATGAAATCAACAGCTTGATATATGACACTCCCACATCATAGTCCTTTACATTTGCCTCTCAGAGAGAGCACAGTCTGTTAAGCTCTTGCCAAGCCACGAGCTTCTTTGAAGGTTGCAGGCACACGGCAGTCCCAGCCTGCGTTTGAACATGGCTTAGATGTATCAAAGCCACAACTGACAGGGTAGTGGGGTTGAGTGCTCCATTTCCAGAGTGGTCACAGAGCCCTCTCATTCACCATCCTCTTGGGATGATAAACAAGAAAGCAGAACTACCAATGAAAGAGGACTGGTGTCTCTTGAGTCCTTGACCAAAGGAAGCCCCACTTAAAGAAAACACTCACATTAAGTTGTCATGACTCTAAAGTAAACCTTCATTATGACTCTGATGTATGACGATTTGCTTATTGCAATAGTTCACTTCAGTTTTACACAAAGAGCCTGGGGAAATGATTACCAAACTCAAATCTCCTTTTATCAGCCATGCCTGGAATAAAGGCTGTATCTGCATCTATATTAATGTTGAATTTTTCTGTAGTATCATATTTTAAAGGAGTTTGATTGGATTAATTAGAGAATTAATTTCACCCAGTATAAATGTATATTCTTTTGTTTTATAACAAGTAAATCAGCATCTCTCAGTTGATAACCTCTCCCAGTGAATACTTTCCCTGTTATTGCCTTGTCTGTTGATTCATTCAATGCTTCACAATTGTGCTTCCTGAATTCTTCCAACTTATATATGGGAAGCTAATCTTTATGTAAATGTAGCCAGATTTTGGGACTGGGGCCAGTGAGATAGCTTAGAGGACAAAGGTGCTTGCCCCTAAACCTAATGATCAGAGTTTCAGCCCCAGGATCCATATAGTGAAAGAAAAAAACTAATTTCTTCAATTGTTCTCTAACTCCACTGATGCACTGAAGCCCATGCCCTCTACCAATGCCCCACCCCTTTACACATACAAAATGTAATTAAAAAGAGATTGATTAAGTCTCTGGGGGGTATTAGGTCATAAGTGCTCTGCTCAGGTGTGGAATTGGTGTACTTTAAAGGATGCCTGAGGAAGTTTGTTTGCCTCTTCTACCATGTGAGAACATGCTAAGCAAAAATACATTCATGACAACATAGAAACAGTGATCATTGGGGGGGAAAATGCACTTTACTCGATAGAGTTGTTGCCTAGTATGCACTCAGCTGAGTTCCATCATAGCACCAACACATCAACTGCAAGCTGGTGCACATCAGTAATTCGAGCTATTGGAAGGTCGAGTCAGTATGACCTGAAGTTCAAGGTTATACTTGGCTACAAAGCAAGTCTAGACTATAGGAGACCATGTTACAGAACAAAAATAAAATTCTATATGAAAAAAATTAAGAAAAACTGAGCACCAGAGAGTGAGTTTGAATGGTCCTTGTGGCTATGGGAACATGCTTCAGCTAACACCAGGTACTGTTGTCTGCCTGCAGTTTAAATATCTCGACCCTGGGTCCTAAGTTAACTGAGACAACCCTAATGCCTTCTCTACCCAACTGCAATTGTAATAGTGTTCTCCTCAGCTCTCAAGGATACCTCGGTCTGGATGATAGATTTTATTGTTGATTTATTTGTAGCCCTGTTGTGTAAAGGGGACAACACAGCTATCAGAGCCTGACGCCCTTTAATATTAGCATAAATCTCTTTGTTCAGATTCCAGACTTCACTAAGCAAGCAAACTTCTAATAATTTGGATTCTTTGTAGCAGAGCTACAAAGACAAAATATTAGCTGGACTCGCATCAAAGGCAGGGCCGTTCTGTGCCCGTGTGTCATTACTAATTAATGAGCTGACACCCTGGATTATAAACTCCAAAATTCTTATTAGAGATGAATGTGCAACAGTTTCTGCAGTACTGATCAGTTTCTGGATCCTGAGAATATGGAGTTGAAGATGCTAACAAGATGTGACCTAGAGGGCTCAGGTTAAATCCTTGCACACAAAGCCATGCATCAGGTCCACTGACCTCTAACAATTCATTTTGGGCACTGGTTACAGTCTTCATCATGAACATCTACATCTGGTTAGATAATAAAAGATATGAGAGATCTGTGTGGAGCCAGGCTATGCAGAGGAGAGAAAGATTATGAGCTAACCCTAAAAGCACTAGGTTGGATGAGTAGTGAGGAAAAAATAATTAAGGATGTTATGTTTTGAGTGTGAAATGTCCTTCATAAGTTTGTTTACACATGCGAAAACTTAACTCCCAGTTAGGCACATAATTTGAGAAGTTTATGGAGCCTTCAGGACTGAAGTTTCATTGAAAGAAATGGATTAGCCTATGGTGGGCCTTGAAGTTTTAGGACACAAACCCTCTTTCAGATCACTCTGCTTCTTTAGTGTGATAGGTGCAATGTGGACCCATCAGTATCTCTCTCTTACTCCACCTTTCTCTACCTGATATCGCATCTTTCTTACCTCTCCGGAACTGAAAACCTTTGGTCAGGGTATTTTATCAAAGCATCAATAAAGCAAATTGTGGTAGATATGTTATATGCTTCATCTGTTTCTCCTCTTTTGTTTGCAGGGAATCTGGTACCAAGAGTAGAGGAGAGATTAGTATGCAATTCCCAATTTAATTTCACTTGTATAATATGCTCCACGAAATGCAATCTCCCTTCTTAAGCCAAAGATTTACTTTAAATATTCATACTATATGTTAATGTCTAAGCGTCTGTGGAATAATAAGTTTTTCTGTGAATTCAACAGGTGTTTACTGAGTGCAGCTATGAATCGCACTGTACACCTTCAGTAAAAACAGATGGCAGGAATGGAAGGACGCAGAATACCAGGTTAATGTGCTGTTGGGTGCCGACCATCAGGGATGGCCAAGTAGGGAAAGAACAATTAAAATAATTACATGGTTCAGGTCAATAGTACTCTTCTGGTTTGCATATGTTAAAGTCTACGGTCCCAGCTAGTGGTATTGTCTTTGGAAGCAATGAAAACATGAGGAATGGTGAGTTTCACTGGAACAAATAGTCACTGAGACTGAATCCCTGGAATTTTGTCCTTGGCCTTTTATGTCTCCTTATCTCTAATCATGCTCTATCATGAAATAAACCTCTCTTCTCTGCCACATACTTATACCAACTCAACAATTTTTGCTTAAGTGTATAAAGCCAAGCAACCATGGACTGACTTGTTTAAAATCGTGTGCCTAGATCAGTTTTGCTTCCAGTGGGTTGTTTTAAGGGAACTTCAGAGATACAAAAGTAACTTATATGAGGATTCTAAGGAAATGTTAACGTGCATGCAAGGGTATGTGTATACATGTAAGAGATGGTTAGAAACATTTTATAAGAAAAAAAAGACTTTTGGTACAAATTAGTCAAAAAAATAGACGGAATTCTTTTTAAGTAAAATGGGCAAATAATCAATAATATTAGGAAACTATTGAATATTCTGAAATTTGTATGAACCACCACTAGAAAGGATAAGGTCATCATATGTAGTAGGAGGTGCCACTCTGTAGTAGGTGGCACGGGCTGCATCCTTCTGCCCTGCTAGCTTAACCTCTGAAATAACCACACAGAAAACTGTATTAATTAAATTACTGCCTGGCCCATTAGCTCTAGACTCTTATTGGCTAACTCTCACATCCTGATTAACCCATTTCTATTAAAGCTGTGTATCATCATGTGACTGTAGCTTACCAGCAAGATTCTAACCTACGTCCTACTCAGGATGGAGATTCATGGCATCTGCCACACTTCCCTTCTTCCCAGCATTTTGTTCTGTCTTCTCCACCTACCTAATTTTCAACCAATGAAAGCAACACACAAACTGAAGAACCTCCTACACCCATTATAGGCTTGTTGAATATTGTAGATAGTCTTCCAATTCAATAAGATGCAGCTGAAAGACTCCTCCTGCACAAACCCACATCATCTTTTGTGGGATTCATTTTGGAGGCAGAAACAGAGGGAAATGGTAGTCAGATAACCAATACCTATATCCAGTAATAAATTCTCTGAGAACTTTCCTTGGTGTTTACAATGATAGTTTGGCTTTTTAGAAGTAAATTCAAATAGCATCTTTGTTTTATGATTAGAGAACTACAGTAACATTTGGAGTGAACTTCTGGTGACAAAGACATTTCTTACATGTGTTTCCTTTTCCTTCTTATTTTGCTGAGTAGTGTTCATTGTATCAAAATTTTGTAGCTGCTTTCTTCATCTTGGTTTTTGGACTATTTCATGACATTAAACTGTTAGTGTAAGCATTGTTCATCCTAATCCCTCAGTAGAAGGGATGCTTCTTTCATTGCTTTCTGTCTCCTGAATATGAAACACATCTTAAGATGTTTCCACTAGTTGGTGGTGGAAATTATAGGGCACAACACACACTTGTATTTACTGGTCTTACAGGTGTTCTTCCCCTTATGTAGTTGCTTTGGCTATTTTGCATCTATCTGCTTGGGTACCTCCTGTGTAGTCTGTACTTTAAGCCATCACAATTTTATACTGGGAAGAGAATGCTCTTGGTAGTAACCTTTCCCTGATTTTTTTCTGTAGTGTTTCAATAATTATAAAAGCCGTTAAAAATAAAAAGAGCTCTTCAAATTAAATTCAAGTGGCGTCTGGTCAGCATTCAAGGCAACTGATTTTTTTTTTTTTTTTACAATATATGAAGAAGTGGATCCAGAAAACTGAGAACCATGTCAAGTATTTCAGTCAGTCACTATTCTCCACAGTTTCAGTACTTTCTAAAAATAGGTGAAATTATCATCACATTTTGTTTATTATGAC